CGACATAATGGTGCCGTGACTCGGATATGAAGCCTAGGCAGGGTTTAGTGTCGTTCCTCCACGAAGACGGGGAACGACAGTTGGGTAGTTTGTAAACAACAGCATTGCACTGCCTATAGTCTGGAGGGTGGGGTGGCCAAGGTCAGGTTTAGGGCACCAGCAGACTTGGTGTTGGCCAGGACATGCTTCCTAGTTAACAGAAGTCTGTCTTCTCCCTCACTAGGGGGAAGGGTTAGGAAACTTTCTCAGGCCTTTTTTATAAGGGTACTGATCCCATTCATGATCCAATAGCTCCCCAATACCATTGCCTTGGGAACTGGGTTTCAACATAGGAAATTTGGGGAGACACAAACATTCAGTCCACAGCAAGATTTCATGGATGACACCTTAAGGCAGGTACTCAACTGGGCCTGGTGGCTGGGCATAGGATTGGCTCACCGACTGGTAAGGTCAAAGTGCCAGTCATCTGGACATGAAACATCTCAGAACAGTAATAACCATCTTCACCTCTTGAGCTTGGGTGTGCTGGTGTCAGGATTTCTAGGGAGGAAATCCTGTAGGAGACTTCATCTTTTGAAATCAGTACAGCCATCTGCAGATGGCCAGAGGGAAGGTGCAGGGTTGTGAGCTGGGCACTGATGCTTTTTCCTTGATGGCTCTGTTTATTTTCCTGTTTCCTATTTCGTATTGTCTTTCCTCTAACATGAATGAAGTGTTTAAGATCCAGCCCTGCCTAGTTGTACTGGGGAAACATGGGATTGTGTCTACCAGGACTAGGGTGTTAAAGGGGGATATGTTGCCTCCTATAGAGTTAAAATAGGGGTGGCAGTGGGAACAGAAACTAAAGGGAGGATGTGGACCATGGGGGCACCGTGCACACTGCAGTTGGTTCTAGGCAACAGTGCTTTTTTTCCAGTTTTCCTCTGGAGAATATGGACCTAGTTTTAGCATAGGGAGTGATTTATAGCTCTTCATCTCTGCTGCACCGAAATGTTTTTTTCCCCTCCCAGGTTTTGTTCTCTGGACGTAGACCCCCAGATCTCTGTCTCTCATTTCCATGATGAATCCTTGGTCCCAGGACTTGATGTTGGGTTTTCCTCATTGCATGTTGGCTTTCCCAGAAACATACGTCTCGAGGAATGTCCAGAATTTTGCAACCATGCTTCAGAACTTCCACACATCAGCCCTTGCCCAAAATGCTGACACACAGCTCCTAGCTTTGGTTCGAGAGTCCCCTCTCTGGGGTTTTGTTAGGCTCTTCCATCTGCCTAGCCTAGATTTGCTCTAGCAATGGCTAGGGTAGAGCTTCCCTACAGTGTTCAGCCTTGGTTCAGGACACCTGGCCTTGGGCTTCTTGTTTGCACTTCTGTGGGGATCAGGTTTAGGAGGCAGGGGTATGATGGCTGCATAACTCTTGCCTGCAAGAGTTTTCTTCCTGAGGAGGTAGAATCTAGGTTTTGTTGTTGTTTGTTTGTTTTTTGTTTTTTTGTTTTTGTTTTTTGTTGTTGTTGTTGTTGTTGAAAGGCAGAGTTAGAGAGACAGACAGAGAGGGAGGTCTTCCATCAGTTGGTTCACTCCCCAAATGGCTGCAATGGCCAGGGCTGGGCCAGGCCAAAGCCAAGAACCAAGATCTTCTGGGTCTCCCACATAGGTGCACAGCCCAAGCACTTGGGTCATCCTTTGCTGCTTTCCCAGGTGCATTAGCAGAGAGCTGGATCAGAAGTGGAGCGGCCAGGACTCGAACAGGCTCACATATGGAATGCTGGCACAGCAGGTGGCAGCTTTACCCTATACACAATAATGCTGGCCCCATTGTTGTTTTTAAAGATTTACTTATTTGAAAGAGCTACAGAGAAAGGGAGAGATAGAGAGAAAGAGAAAGAGAGAGCAAGAGAGTACAAGAGAGTGCTTCCATTCACTGGTTCACTCCCCAGATGGCTGCAATGGCTAGAGCTGGGCCAGCCTGAAGCCAGGAGCTTTATCCAGGTCTTCCACATGAGTGCATGGGCCCAAGCACCTGCTGCTTGTCCCAGGCCATTAGCAGGGAGCTGGATCAGAAGTGGAGCAGCTGGGATTCAAACCAGCACCCATGTAGGATGGCAGTGTTACAGGTGGCAGCTTTACCTGCTATGCCACAGCACCAGCCCCAGAATCTGTTTATCACTGCCCTCTCCGTTGGCAGTAAAGCAGGCACATGACAGCAGTGTCCTATGTCAGTCTTTGGAGGCCTTTGAGGTAACCTGGGTTGGAGTGATGTTGCTGGATGGAGCAGGACCTCTCTTCTTGCAGGAGTCCATCTCATGCCTTATTATCTTTCCATTGGTCCCTTACAGAAAGAACATGCTTGGAGCTTGTATCATAATGGGTCAGGATCAGTGGCTTCCTGTTCTGCAGTTTGTTTGGGAAAACTCACCCCTCCCCAGACAATGAAATAAGGCTTCACACAGCCACAACAAGCTGAATCTAGGGTCCCAGTCCTCTACTCCTGAGGCCACGGTGCTCACCATCAAGCTGTGGCTGAGAAGCAGTAGTTGTGTTTGGGAGTCAGCTCTCGCATATCTGTCTGCAAGCTCCCCAGGGGCATTAAGAGTGTGTGTGCTTGATCTATACAGCATTTTACTAAGTACCTGGCCCTCGGTGAATACATTTGGGCAGCTCTGAGGGCCAGAAGGCAAACCTCAGTGGTTACAGAGATGACTGGGTTGCACTGGGCAGAGGGCTAATTCAAAAGCTGAAGGGACCAGGCAAGTTATGGAAGTGAAATATATGGCTGGCTGGGGTCCAGGGCCTACAGGAGAACAGCACAGTTCCTGCTTCCCGTAGTGAGAACACCCACTTCTCTGCTCCACTAGGGACGTCAAGAAATTCATGGAAGTGGAATTAAAAGATGCTTATTTTGATGCAAAGAGTTTAAGTCTATGTGCAGTTTTTGCTTTGTTTTATAAGTATATTTATTTTTATTTTTTGACAGGCAGAGTGGACAGTGAGAGAGACAGAGAGAAAGGTTTTCCTTTTGCCATTGGTTCACCCTCCAGTGGCCGCCGCGGCCGGCGCACCGCGCTGATCCGATGGCAGGAGCCAGGTACTTATCCTGGTCTCCCATGGGGTGCAGGGCCCAAGCACTTGGGCCATCCTCCACTGCACTCCCTGGCCACAGCAAAGAGCTGGCCTGGAAGAGGGGCAACTGGGACAGAATCCGGTGCCCCTACCGGGACTAGAACCCGGTGTGCCGGCGCCGCAAGGCGGAGGATTAGCCTAGTGAGCTGCGGCGCCGGCCTGTTTTGTTTTGGTTTGTTTTAAAGATTTGTTTATTTGAGAGGGAGAGAGAGAGAGAGAGAGAGATCCAGCTGGTTCACTCGGATGGCTGCAACAGCCAGGGCTGGGCCACATGGAAGCCAGGAGCCAGGAACTTCCTCCAGATCTCCCACATGGGTTCAGGGGCCCAAGCACTCGGGCCATCTGCTGCTGCTTTCCCAGGCGCATTAGCAGGGAACTGGATCGGAAGTGGAGCAGCCACATCATGGGCCCATAGGGATGCCGGGGCTGCAGGCTGCTACTTAATCTTTACAACACAGCGTGGGCCCGTTTTTTTTTTTTTTTTTTTTCATAATATGCCATTTCCCATAAACTTTTGGAAGTACCCTTACATGTCTGCTGTGCTGAGTTTTCCAGATAAGATAGAGAGCTAGATGTGGTAAATCTCTCCTTGTTCAGTGTTCAGTTTACTCAATGAAAAAGCCCTGTGCCGGCCAAACAACCCACTGGTGGGCTGGCTGCAACAGGTGCACTGTCAGTTGCAACCTCTGTAATCCAGAGGGCTAAATAACTCCACTTTCACGGGAGCCGGCGGGAGCCGGGGATTCGTGCAGCTCCAACCTGCCTCCCTGCACTCTGCCTCCAAGGAACTTGGCTCTGCCACCCGACCTAGACCTGACCTGAGCGGGAAATTAGCGCAGCCTCCCCTCAGCAGCTGCAGGGAAAGGCCCTTCTTAGGCTCCTGTGACCTCTGCAGGAGGATTAGAGCCCTAAATCCCCCAGGGACAGACTGGGGGAAGGGAAGGGAAAGCGGCCAGGAGATGGAAAGGCGCCAAGTTGTCCCCTCTCTCCCCTCTCTCGTAGCCTTCCCTTGGGGTCAGCCAGGTACAGAAAAAGACATTCTGCCCCTGCTGGGCCAAGACTGCTAGATTTTTTCCAGTGGGTTTTTCGTAGTAATGAGGAGAAAGCACAAAGGGACACAGAACGAGATGGCCTAGAAATGCGTCTTTAAAGGGCCATGCTAGACCGAGGAGCCCAGAGAACCGGGGGTGGGGGGCTCTGAAGGAAGATTGGAGTTGCCTCCAGGGTAGGGGGAGGCAATTTGAAGAGAGGAGGGGAGAAGGCTCAAGAGGGACTTCCGCGCTGGGGGAAAGGGGCGGGAAGAAGCGCGAATCCAGGAAATGGGGGGCGTGGGCGTGGACATTCCCATTCCCGGGAAGGGGGCGAAGGGATGTGGGCTCCCACGAGGGCCGTTCTACCCGAGGCTTCTGAAGCGTGGGAGCGTGTCCGGGACGCCCACGCTAGCACCAGCTACAGCCTCTTCGCGCTCCCTCTCCCGGGAAGGTTTGAAAGCAGCCGGGCCCGGGTGACGCTGGAGGAGATGAAGCGGTTGCCATGGCGACGCGCCGCGCACTACGGAAATAAATAAATAAGCCGCCAGGGCTGCAGTAGCCGCGCCCCCGCGGGACGCCCGCGCCGGGGAGGCAGTCCCGCGGGTCCGGGTCCCTGCAGCCCGCGCGTCCTGGCACTGGCGGAGCCGGGGGGTCACCCCCCCGGGGGCGAATGGTACAGTCCTCCGCCCGCGCCCCGGTCGGCTCCAAGCCCGCGAGCGCGCGCCGAGCCCCGCGCAGCCGCCGCCGCCGCCCGCCGAGCCCGGAGCCGAGTCCGAGGCGGCGATGGAGGGTGTCAGCAGCCACCGGAGTCTGTCCTACAGCCGCTGGAGCTACGACAGGTAGGGCACGCGCCCGGCCAGGGGGCTTGGTGGCCCCTCCAGGGGGGCTGCGTGGGCGCCCGCACTCCGCCGGAGGAGCGGGCCTCGGGGTGAGGGCGAGTGCGAGTGCGAGCGCCTAGACCCCTGCGGTGGACGCGGGCATTCGGGAATGGGTCCCAGAGCCTCGGCGGAGCCCGAGCCAGAGCATCCTCGCACCTCCGGCGGAGGGCACGCGGCCACTGCGACCTGGCGACCCGCGAGCTGCCACCCCGCCCCCAGCCCGGGCTAGGGTCGGTCCTCCCTGGAGTGGCGCGAAGGGCGTGGAGGGGCTGAGGTGCGGGGGGCGCCCCTCGGCTCCAGGCCGCGCCTGGCTGGCGCGCGTGGAGCAGCCCGCGGGGCCGGAGGGCCGCGGCCGGCGTCGGGGCGAGGAGCCGGGCGAAGACGGGGAGCGGCCCCGGCGTGGGCGGTTGGGAGCCGCGCTCCCGGCGCTTCTTGGACTGGAGGAGGAGGAGGAGGGCATCACCCTCCCGGGCGAGATGGGCGCGTACGGACAGCGGAGTGAGGTGACCGTAAACCGCGTGGATTTATCCTGAGATTATGTTCGCTCTGCCTTTCTGGGTGTGTTAGGCGCCACTCTTGTTCCAGATGAAACCATGATGGCTAGTAGAGAGTAATTGTTCTTAAAGTTCGCAACCCCGTATCAATCTCCAGAATCCTGGAGTTAATTTTTCTGAGTCGTCTCTAATTGGTGAGGGCTGACAGAAAAACTTCGTGGGCTGGGCCGCCTTCACCTGCGCCAAGTCCTGCTGCTCTCCTCTTCACGCGGCGTTTAGGCGCCCATAGTTTTTTCTAGATTCAGATGAACAGGTGTGCCTCTTGCCGGAGCCTAGTTCCCCTGGGACCTCGCCCTCATCCATCCCACCTGTCGCCTCCATCCTCCTCTTCCTCTCCCTACTACTGCTGAGCTCAGCCTGTAAACCTATCCCAAGTTCGGCCTGTCTTCTCTCCTCAAGATAGGTGCAGCTGGCCCACCTGTTTGCTTCCATTGCCTTTGTGGGGGAGAAATACCAATCCGGTATGAATTGTTGCATCCTCTGTCCTCAGCAGCCCCGGCAACCTGCTGTTTGCCTCCCAGTTCCAGTGGACGTGCCCTTTTAAAAAGCAAAGTGCTGTCTGTGCAGGAGAGCTCTAAAATTTCCGAAATATTAATATGACAAAAGGTATAAGGTTGTGTGTGTCCAGGTCATAAATCATGCGTCCATATACCTATTCAATAAATGTGTATTGAGTGCAAACTGTGTTGGGCCATGAGATAAGAAGATAAGGCATAATCCCTTCCCCCTGATGAGCTCACAGCCTAGATTCTAGAAGAAATAAGCATGACCTGTGTAAAAGGTTTAGGACATATATGGGAGACAGACTGAGCATGGAGCTAATTCTACATACTTTTTTTTTTTTTTTTTTTGTGGGAGAATCAAAAACAGACTCTGGAGTTAGACAACCTGATATTGACTCCACCTAGCTAACAGGACGAATTCCCCTCTCTAGGTCTCAGTTTCTTCATCTCTAACTTGAGGAACTGATAAATGTCAAATGAAGTTAATAAAGGCTTAGTGTACTGCCTGGGACATAGTCAGAAGTCGTTCCTATCACTATTGGGTTAATTTTATAAATGTAAATATCATGAATGTTTCTAGTTCTCTACAAAAGCTTGATTTGAAAAATTGTTCTGTTTAGATCACCAAATGAAAGCCTTTCCTGGGGCTGGTGCTGTGGTGTAGCAGGTGAGGCTGCCGCCTGCAGAGCCAGCATCCCATATGGGCACCAGTTTGTTGTTGTTGTTGTTGTTGTTTAAGATTTATTTTATTTGAAAGACAGTTACAAAGAGAGGTAGAGACAGAGAGGTCTTCCATGCACTGGTTCACTCCCTAAATGGCCGCAACAGCCGGAGCTACGCCATTCCGAAGCCAGGAGCCAGGAGCATCTTCTGGGTCTCCCACGTGAGTGCAGGGGCCCAAGGACTTGGGCCATCTTCCATTGCTTTTCCAGACCATAGCAGGGAGCTGGATCTGAAGAGGAGCAGCCAGGACTAGAACTGGCATCCCATAGGATGCTGGCACTTTAGGCCAAGGCTTTAACCCGCTGCATCACAGCGCTGGCCCTGGGCACCAGTTTGAGTCCTGGATACTCCACTTCTGATCCAGCTCCCTGCTATGGTCTGGGAAAGCAGTGGAAGATGGCCCAAGTCCTTGGGCCCCTGCACCCATGTGGGAGACCCAGAAGAAGCTCCTGGCTTTGGATCAGCCCAGCTCTGGCTGTTGTGGCCAATTGGGGAGTGAACCAGCGGATGGAAGACCTCTGTCTCTCTCTGCCTCTGCCTGTGTAACTTCGCCTTTCAAATAAATTTTTTTTTATTTTTAATAAAAAAGCATTTCCTGGAGTTCTGTCTTCAGAACTCTTCTCACCCTGACACACTCAACACCTAGGGAAGAAAACGCCTTGCTCCAGCTAATGTAATAAAAGTATCAGGAGCAGAACCCTGCACTCAGTGGTTGTGTGTGACTTCCCAAGTGGTTGTAGTATAGCTGGTTTGGCTGTCCCTGAGACCACTCAGTGGTGCACACCACCCACCTCCATTTTCCAATCTGTATTTGTGTTTTAAAATATAAATGCTGTTTGAACAGTACCCAGTTCTCAATAAAGCTGTTTTAAAGCAGCACATGTGTAGGGTACACAGGTGATAAAATGTGACTTATTTATTTATTTTTGTGCTCCCATCCCTCTTCCTCACCCAGGTAACCACTATTCATAGTTAACCTTCACTTTCCAACCCTGTTTGGCTTCTGCCCCACCACATCCCTGAACTTGGGAGACCCCTTTCCCCAAGTTGACCTGTATGCGGTATATTCATTGCAGCTTTGCTTCTGGGGCTGTGGGTGTGGTCTGTTCTCCATAGTGCCTCCGCCCAGGCCTCTCTCTGCCTGCCGTCATCTGTAGCAGCATCACCTGGTTTTGTTCATGTGGTGGAAAGGTTTCTGGTGTGAGATCACAAGCTGAGAAGCCTCTGGAGGCCTTGGTTTGGAACTCAGTTTGGCCAAGTTTATTGCCCAGAGGAAGTCAGAATGCCAGCCTGCATTCAAGAGGTGAGGAAGCAAGCCTTACTTCAGCTGCAAAGTGTGTGGCCCCTTCTGCAGTCTGCCACTGCACGTGGCCTTCATTTTGTGGGAGTCCTGTGCTTCGTGGTCCCCACTGTCAAAATGTGAGCAGCACGTGCCCAAGCCCTGCTCTCTCCCACTCCATTCTGTTCTCAGGCTATGCTGTGACCTCAGTTATCGACTCAGTGCTTGTAATACCAAAATCCCAGTCTGTAACCCAGGCCCTTGTGCTGAGCCTTAGCCCGCCAGCTCTAGATGCCTGTGGACTTCTCCATGCAGATATAATCACCAACACTCCTAACTGACCTGTTCAAAATCGGACCTCTGGGGCAGGTGCTGTGGCATAGCAGGTTAAGCCTCTGCCTGCAGTGCCAGCATCTCACATGGGCACCAGTTTGAGTCTCGGCTGCTCCACTTCTGATCCAGCTCCCTGCTGATGGCCTGGGAAAGCAGCGGTGATTGGCCCAGGTGCTTGGGCCCCTGCACCCACATGGGAGACCAGGAAGAAGCTCCTGGCTTCGAATATGCCCAGCTTCAGCCGTTGAGGCCATCTGGAAAGTGAGCCAGCAGATGAAGGTCCCCCCCCCCCCATCTGTGATGCAGCTTCTCAAATCTTTAAAAAAAGAAAAAATCAGACCTTTCTCTGGTGATTTGATTTGGCTATTTATCCTTCCATTCAAGTGAAACCGCAGCATATTGACAGATTTTCTTTTAAGATTTATTTATTGATTTGAAAGATGGAGTTACAAAGAGGGAGAGGAAGAGGCAGAGAAGTCTTCCACCCACTAGTTCACTCCCCAAATGGTCGCAACAGCCAGGGCTGTGCCAGGAGCCAGGAGCTTCATCTGGATCTCCCACATGGGTGCAGACCCAAATACTTAGGCCTTCTTCCACTGCTTTCCCAGGCACAGTAGCAGGGAGCTGGATTGGAAGTGGAGCAGCCAGGACACGATTCAGCACCCAAATGAGATGCCTGCATTGCAGATGGCAGCTTAAGCCACTACCACAGTGCTGGCCCCGACATTGAGCTTGAGCTTTGCATGTCTAGTCATTTTGTCTGCCTGTTATCTGCACTACCAATCGTTGCAGCAGTAAAATGAGGTGATGTATGTAAAATGACAGGCACCAAATAGGTATCATCCAGTCTGAGGGTTTTCAACAACACAGTCTCCAGGCATGTTCCTGAAAGACTTTGGTGCACTGTGTCAATGACCACCTTAACACTCTGCACTCATCGTGTGTAGGCCTTCTCATTCTAGAGAGTTCTCTTCAGTTATTCACAGGATAAATTCCTAGGCGTTGACACTTGGAATTGCTTCACGTTTGATTTTATACACACTGTTGTCCTTAGGCAACGCTCCTGCCACACCATGCAGCTGGCCTTCACCTCTGCACCTTTCTGCCTGCCTTTTCCTGGGCTCGCTCCTTCCTTTCCCTTTCCAGCCTGAGCGCATGCTAGATGATTTCACTCCAGCACTTCTTTTTAATTTTAATTTGTTTGGAAACAGAGTTGGAGAGAGAGAGATCTATATATTCTATATACTGGTTCACTCCCCAAATGCCTGCAACAGCCAGGGCAGGGCCAGGCAGAAGCCGGGATCTTCATCCAGGTCTCCTGTGTGGGTGCAGGGACCCAAATACTTGTGCTGCTTTCCCAGGCACAGGAGCAGGGAGCTGGATCAGAAGTGGAGCAGCAAGGACTCAGGATGGAACTGATGCCCTTGGGATGGCCACAGCGCCGGCCTCCACTCCAGCACGTTCTGTGCCCTCACACATGCTCAGCCCAACTCCGTCCCTGCCTGGATGAGGCCATGCTCCTGCATGGAGTGGTGTCAGAATCTCCATCCCCTTATGTCACCAGAACACATACACAATTGACACAGCATCCAGAGTGTTGGTACTTCCACAATCTTCATCTTCATCTGGGCCACCTACACCATCTGTCAGTCTCGGTTAGCTCCACTCCCATTCCCTGAAACCTCCGCCCCCGCCCCCACCCCATATCTCCCTCACTCTCCTAGACCCTTGTCCACACTCTACACTCTAACAAATGACCTCGCCTCCCACCCCTTTGAGAAAAACAGACTGGGTGGGGTTAGGTCTTCTGTCTCTTCCTGATCCACATCACTTCCAATCTGCTTCAGTCACTCCCTCCCAGGCACTTTCTTGTAGTTTCCAGTTCTTTGCTCTTAGAAGCAATTCTGTGGTTAACATCCTTGGGTATGTAACATTTTTCTTAATGTCTGATTACAACAAACTCCTGAATAAGGTTGTTAGTTCAGTTTTTGGCTATTGTCAGGTTGTCTTGGAGAGAAGTGAATTGATTTCTGTTTCCCTAAACAGAGGCTAGAATTACATTGTTTGATAACTGTTGCAAGTTCAGATTCTCAGACTGAGACAATGTGGCG